TCCAAAGAGTCCTCTCTTCTCATGATGTGTCCGAAGTACGACAGTCTACATCTTGTCATCTTGGCTTCTTCCAGCTTGATCTGCTCTAGGACCCCTTTGTTGGTCCTTATGGCTGTCCATGGGATCCTCAGCACTCTTCTCCAGTCCCACATTCTCTCAAATCCATTGGTTTTTCTCCTTTCTTCTTTCTTGACTGTCCAGTTCTCACGTCCATCCATGGCAATGAGGAATATAATAGCTTGTATGATTCTCACTTTTGTGCTGAGTTATATATCTTTGCATTTTAGAATCTTTTCTAGTTCTTTCATAGCCACCCTCCCCATTCTTAGTCTTCTGATTTCCTGACTTCAGTTCCCATTTCTATCAATGTTTGACCCCAGGTATGGGAATGCTTTGACTATTTCTATTTCTTTATTGTCTAGTTTGAACTTGTGAAGGTCCTCCTTGGTGGTCATTATTTTTGTTTTCTTGATGTTCACCATTAAGCCTGCCTTTGCATTTTCTTCTTGGATCTTCCTTAGTAGAAGTTCCAGGTCCATGAGGTTTTCTGCTAGTATTATGGTGTTGTCAGCATATCACAGATTGTTGATATTTATTCCTTCTATTTTCATTCCTTCTTCTTCTGTGTCCAAGCCTGCTTTTCTTATAATATGTTCTGCATACAAGTTGAACAGATCGGGTGAAAGGATGCAGCCTTGTCTGACTCCTTTGCCAATTGAGAACCATTCTGTTTTTCTGTATTCTGTTGTGACAGTAGCCTCTTGTCCTGAGAACAGATTCCTCCGCATCAGGACTATACTGGCACTCCCATGCCTTTAAGGGAGTTCCATAGCCTTTTATGGTCTATGCCAGGGATTGGCAACCTACGGCCTGTGGGCCGCCACCGCCGCCAACACTTCCAAAATGGTGCTCACACTTGCGCGCGCAAGCGCACAGCGGTGTGTGCCATTTTGGAAGGCCCAATGGCAGCTGCGCCGGGCGAATTCGCCCGACGCAGGCGGGCTTTTCCAAGGCCCAGGGAAGCCCCCCTGCGCCTGTGACAGGCAAATTTGCTCGCCGCAGGCGCGGGGGGGGGCTTCCAAAATAGTGCACGCGGGGGGGGCAAGTGTGTGCACATGCGCAAGCCCGCCCAACCCCCTGCATCATCCCCCCCTCCTGGCCCCCTGGCAAAAAAGGTTGCCGGCCCCTGGTCTATGCAGTCAAAGGCTTTGCTATAGTCTA